AGTCCTGCAATGTAATTATTGCAGTTTCTCGAAAACGGCAATGTTTTACATTGCAGGACTAAGTGAGACTGTGACATTGCACCCAGACCACTTTAATGAGATGAATTGGTCTGGGTGAGTATAGTGTCCCTTTAATTTCTTTAGCACTTTGTTAGATTTTATTCATATTAATTTGTGTTCTATATATGTAAATACCTGATGTGAAATAAAAGACCTATTTATCTTGAAAAATTATATCTAATAAGTGTGGGTTGCACCTAATGTTAAATAAGTAAATGATTGTTGAACAGACATATCGCTCAAATTCTAGGTTTTGTTTTTGTTTTGATCAGAACTTGTACAATTGACTCCATCCTTAAAGGGTTAATATAGTGTGAATTATCCATAAATTCACAGATACATTTTATATAATGCCTGGTTCTGATTGTGGGATATTACTTATTTCCCTGTGAAATGCATATTTAATTGATTAGATTCCTGACTCTATTAAACCCGACAGTACTTTTATTCTATATTTTATCAAGTTATAATTAAACCTAAGTAGCACAGCAGCATGGTATTTGACAGGAATGAAAGTGACATATAGTTCTATACATGGAGTGTTACATATTGGCTTGAATATTTTATAATTAACACTCATAAGCTTCATATAAATGAAAAACACATTAGAGATTGCAGTATACTTGAGCATATATAATGGGGTAATTTTCCATATGATCTGTTTTCTTAGATTGCATGTTGTACTTTTGATATTTTATATAATACTTTGTGAGTTATAACATTGCTGCTGATCCCCTTTGTTATCGTTTGCTTTGACCATCATGGATTAGTGAAACAAATGAGTTAAAGGGACACTCTGAGCACCAATGAAACGTTAATGCATTTGATAGGTTTAAACCTCATTAATATGTCATATTTTTTGCATACTCAAATGTTTATCGTTTTTTCATAATATAAATAAATGTTTTGCAGAACGGTGTACCATACGTATGCCTTTTTAGTCACTCCTCTCACTCCAGAAAAATACTTCCTTATCAAATGTACACACAGCTCAGCCACTGACAGCATCTGAACTATAAAGAAACCAACATTTAGAAAGAGATGACACCCAGGGAGGCATATATGAAGAAGATTCCAACCTGTTTGTAATTTCTCCGACTGTCTGCAACCAAGTTGTGAATTAAAAGCAGCTCACTCAGTGCTGTTGGGGCTGACACTGTATGCATAAATTTAATAAGGAAGTGTTTCAAGTATGAGGGGGCAGGCTTATGATGCAGCATTTTGCAAAACATTTATTTTTTTGTCGGCAGAAACTTTTAAGATTAGAGCATGCCCACAGTGTCCCTTTAATGCTATATTTCACATAGGCATTGAAGGGACATTATAGTCACTAAAGCAACTCTAGCTTAATAAAGCAGTTTTTGTACATATATCATGTTCATTAAGTCTCACTGCTAATTAACTGCCATTTAGGAGTTAAATCACTTTTGTGTCTGTTTATGCAGCCCTCCATTTATCATTGATAAAGGTCCTGAAACGTCTGTACTTTGAACGCTCTTTGAATAAATTTGGGCTGCACTAGTGGGCCCATATAACTAAGCTGCACTTTGTGGATGCATACTTTAGATTACCAAATAGTAATCCAGTGCACAATCCATTATTTCCAAAAATAGAAAAGGTTTTGAGACAATTGAATTTCAGCCCAAAGTTGGTTCAGCTGAGGAGAATTTTCAGAATTTCAAAAAAACTTTATGTATAAAATCCAAGCAATCCTTGACCAGGCAAAATGATTAAATAGTAAGCACAGAGTCAGAACAGCAATCTAGTACTGAAGGAGTAGGAGCCAAACCTACAAGGAGAGAGATAAGCCATGATTACCTTCAGCTACACACTCAAAAAAATCACAAAACTTATCTAGCTTTCCAATGCTTTCAACCTTTCCATGTATCTCTGAAAGATAGCTAATATAACTGCTAGTAAATGGAAGAGACAGAGTAAAGTAAAACATGATGCTCAGAAACAAGATACATTCATTTCTCAACCCAGGGGGTTAAATATTAAATTAGATGGCATTTGAGACCATGGGGTGAAATTCGGAATATGGAATCAAACATGGAGTAAAATATGAAATAATTTGGAATATGATATGATGGGGTGAATATGAAATATGGGATATGGGACTGTAGAGTGAAACATAGAAACATAGAATGTGATGGCAGATAAGAACAATTCAGCCCATCTAGTCTGTCCAATTTTCTAAATACTTTCATTAGTCCCTGGCCTTATCTTATAGTTAGGATAGCCTTATGACTATCCCACACATGTGTAAACTCCTTTACTGTGTTAACCTCCACCGCTTCAGCTGGAAACCTATTCCATGCATCCACTACCCTCTCAGTAAAGTAATACTTCCTGATATTATTTTTAAACCTTTGCCCCACTAATTTAAGATTATGTCCTCTTGTTGTGGTAGTTTTTCTTCTTTTAAATATAGTCTCCTCCTTTACAGTGTTGATTCCCTTTATGTATTTAAATGTTTTTATCATATTCCCCTGTCTCGTCTTTCCTCCAAGCTATACATGTTAAGTTCCTTTAACCTTTCCTTGTAAGTTTTATCCTGCAATCCATGAACCAGTTTAGTAGCCCTTCTCTGAACTATCTCTAAAGTATCAATATCATTCTGGAGATACGGTCTCCAGTACTGCATACAATACTCCATGTAAGGTCTCACCAGTGTTCTGTACAATGGCATGAGCACTTTCCTCTTTCTACTGTTAATACCTCTCCCTATACAATCAAGCATTCTGCTAGCATTTACTGCTGCTCTATTACATTGTCTGCCTACCTTTAAGTCATCAGAAATAATTACCTCTAAATCCCTTTCCTCATATGTTGAGGTTAGGACTCAAATATTCTGTACTCTGCCCCTGGGTTTTTATGACCAAGATGCATTATCTTGCACTTATCCACATTAAATGTCAGTTGCCACAACTCTGACCATTTTTCGAGTTTACCTAAATCATTTGCCATTTGGCTTATCCCTCCTGGAACACCAACCCTGTTACATATTTTTGTATCATCAGCAAAAAGACATACCTTACCATCAAGACCTTCGGCAATATCACTAATAAAAATATTAAAGAGAATGGGTCCAAGTACAGATTCCGAAGTACCTCTCTGGTGACAAGCCCATGCTTTGAATATACTCCATTGACTACAACCCTCTGTTGCCTGTCACTCAGCCACTGCCTTACCCATTCAACAATATTGGAATCCAAACATAAAGATTGCAGTTTATTGATAAGCCTTCTATGTGCAACAGTGTCAAAAGCCTTACTGAAATCTAGGTAAGCAATGTCTACTGCACCCCCTGATCTATTATTTTAGTTACACATTCAAAGAAATCAATAAAATTAGTTTGGCATGATCTCCCTGAAGTAAACCCATGTTGTCCCTGATCTTAAAATCCCTGTGATTTGTGATGTTCAACAATCCTATTTAATGTTCAACAATCCTATCCTTTAATATGGTTTCCATTACTTTCCCCACTACTGAAGTAAGGCTTGAGTTTGTTTACCAGATAATTTACAAATCTCAGACTTCAAAAATACAATCTCCTGCTGCAATATAGAAAACTGTCTACAGATTAGACAAAATCCAAATCTCCAAAAAGTGGAACGTGAAACAAATGCATAACAACTATTACACTGAACTAAGTCTGCCATTTTAATGAGGTGAATAGCTTAAATCAAACAAATCTTAAATATTTCTTTTTGTCCTCCTGTATACCAAAGAATTCATTATGACAAATAGGATGAAGGGGTGAAACATGTTGTGAAATGGTCTTATCAAACCCACAACATATACCTGGAAGAATATAATTCTCTAAATAAATAAAACTATTGTGTCTGTGTATGCTGTAGTGTACATTGTAGACATAATTGTCTGTGTTTATTTTTAAGTATTTCTATTAATTGCATTATTGTTTATTAGTAAAGAACAAATTGCTCAAAAAAACTATTTTTTTTTTTTATCCACAAAATACAAACCTGCACTGAACTGAAAAACTAATTTACAATTTGATATTCTGTCTAAGATAAAATTTGTGACTCTTGCTGACTGGGAGAATATTTACAAATTAGCTAATTTGCTATACATTTCAAAATTCTGTTTTTGATTCTCTGACATTAAGCTTAACTTTTATTAAGTTTGTAGTGAATAAACCCTTATAAGCAAAGTATGTGAAAACATATCTTAGTGTGACAGAGATAACCTATTTAATATTTATAGTTTGGGGTGCCTTTGACACAATTTTATGACTTAAATTGACACTATAGACACCAGAACAACTACAGATTAATGTAGTCATTCTGGTGTCTATAGCCTGTCGCTGCAGGCATTTTAATGTAAACACTGTCTTTTTAGACAAAAGGAAGTGCTTACATTGTTGGACACCTCCAGTGGCAGTCACTAGGATGGCCACTAAAGGTGATTCCTGTATCAGTGCTGCACACCATACAGCAGTGACATTCAGTGTCCCAACACTCTGCATGGAAACGCTGATCGTTCTTCATAGAGATGCATTGGGTATTGCTATTGTTGAATATATTGTTTTGTCTGCTATTCATTTAAAATAGTAATTTAAAACATACTGAAGTTGTTGACTATTAAAACCTGTAAATTCAATGCCATTTTTAAAGAAACTTCATGTTGACCTTAAAACAAAACAACAGTTTGTAAATTATTAATTTTCTTCTCAGTTATGTTAAATATGATAAGAGTTTAAACATTCGCACATACTGACCCTGTTAAAATGACTCACTGTTTTATTGACCAGCTTAACACATAAAACTAGGTTCATTTTGAGCACAACCTCCCCCCCCCCTATGGACCGGTGGGGGTCATCCCGGTCCCCCCTGGATAACGGGGGCAACTCGACACAGACTCACAGGAATAAGTTTGTAAAGCAAAGGAGAAACCTGGCGGACGAAGCCCCTAAAATGGCGGCGGTGGCGTACACCCTCACCTTCCTAAGCGAGAAGCCAGAGGGGGAGAGCCGAATAGACAAGGCCTTCCAAATATTCTGGGAGCGACTGGAAGCTCTACTGTCCCCAGGGATGGGGCCCAACGCCCGAAAGCACACTCAATTAAGCAAAACCACAAGGAGGAAGGCACAGTCACCCCAGGCACCGAGTCGCCCAGCGGGACAGAGGCTGCGAGAAACTAACAGACAAAAAGTAACCGGAGACCCAAAAGGCGACAAAAAAAGCAAGGCGGCAACCTTCGGGAGACGGCAAGTAAAGATGCAGAAGCACTCTGGTCGGTCACTCCACGTACCTGATGGTGGTGTTCCGACACTGAGAGGAACGCACAGAAGAAACACACGCACCGCACCAGACCCGACAGGCAGTAAACAAGGCAGCGCGACCTTACCCGTTACAGTCCACGCTGCACCTCGAGTAGCTGAGAGACTGCACTCATTGTGGGTCACAACTGGAATGGATCCCAGACAAGGGGGCATCTTTGTACAGCCCTACCACAGCTTTCCGACCTTGGGCATAGGCTGAATGTTTAGTCGCATGGCTGCGCAGAACCACCATGTGCACCATGGACATGCCGGCCTGCGGCCGCAGACACCTGGCACTATATAGATTACATCATTAATGAACATTTTGTACTGCCGCATATGTCTAGGTTTATTTTGCTCTTGTTTTTTCTCCTCTTTTGTCTTTTCGGGTATACCAGCCTAAGTCATTACAGTCTTGAGAATTGCTCATAACGCCTTTAACATGTAAAACGCATTAGGCTCTGAGTAAAGGAGATACAAGAGGGTTATGCTATGCTATTATGTGCAGCACTGTAAACTAGAACATGGCTTGCTTAATACCATACTACAGCCGGTTATGATAAAGCACTATGCCATATGTTTCACCCTCCCCTCTTGTGTATAGTGCACATCACGCCTGGTATTTAGCATTGATCCAATCGAGTTGAGGAGGGCGCTAGCATACTACTCATTAGTATATACAGCATATGATATATGTTTAAGCTTCACCATACTGTTTAGTCATACAAGTTGGTTTAACCCTTCGCATGTTTCCTATCTTAAATATAAAAACTGTGCAATGTCTTTCAATGCCATAACTATGTTACTATATGTTTCCATACCTGCTTGCACTAGCTATCGTGGCAGTGTAAACATGAATGTTCACGCTATGCACAAATAAAATAAAGAATAAATAAAAAATAAAAAAAAATAAAAAAACTAGGTTCATTTTCTTTTTTTATTAAAAGGGATTTTTAAGTTAGTCTACTTGTCTTTTTATGGAAAATAAGACAAACTATGAAGAAAATAAACAAGTAAATGTGTTTTTTATTCTTCAGAATTTTCCATAGAGTATAATAACCTCTTTTAAAGTGTCACTGGCACGCCAAACTGACCTTTCCCCAATCGCTTCCTTGTCTCAGGATCTGTTCTTCCTAATGGATCTAGTTTTCTTTAAAGCATAAGACAAAGTAGGCACTTATGTATTTTTCCCATGCTTGACCAGTTTTGACCCGCTTCCTGTGGTCAAATGAATTTTTCCACAAACTTACAATGACTTCTTTCAGTATTCCCCAACGATTTTACAGAATGAGTACAGTTTGTCCATTTCTGTTAGGACGCATTTCTATACTTTGTTTGGATTAGAATTCCATTTGAATGAATGAAATACCAATCCTTTTCGTGACATGGCTGCAGCTTGCAGCCAGTTGGTAAATAGCTCCCTAATGCCCACGGTATTAGGGAGCTATCTACTAAAAGGCTAGACAATTTTACTAATACTAAGTTAAAACTATGTGGTATTAGTAAAAAAGGCAGATTAACATCTCCCTTCTGCCTCTACTACTCACTGTGCTGGAAGTAGGGCATGTTTACTAAACAGTAGGCAGCCCCCCTTCCAATAAAGTGCCTCATGTTGGGGCACCTTATAAAATAACTAGCGGAGGGGCATAGTGTGGCTATTCAACTAAATGGGGGTCTAGGGTCCCCTTTGCACCCACCCATGAGCAGTTGGTGCGGGCCCTGAGTAACAATGAAGGAGGGGGGACCTATTGTCCCGTCCCACCATGATCGGTGGGTGGGGACCTTAAATGACCATAGGGGCAAACCTATTGTGTCCCTGCCCAGGCCGTCACCCATGAGGAGCATGTGGGGGTCCTTAAAAAAATTAGGGGAGAGGACCTATTGTTCCCTCCCCGGTCCCCAGCCATGAGCGGCGGGTTGGGGCCTTAAGTTACAATAGGGAGAGATAACCTATTGTCCTCCCACTGGCCCCTACCCAGGGCTGGGGCCTCAAGTTACAATAGGGGGAAAGGACCCATTCTCCACCCCCAGCCACCACCCATGAGCGACAGGTGAGGCCCCTAAATTACAATGGGTGGAGTACCTATTGTACTAGGTGAGGGGACAAAAGGTACTTCCTATTGTAACTTAGGGCCCCTAACCCACAGCTCATGGGTGGGGGCCAGGGGGAACAATAGGTTCTCCCCCTATTGTAATTTAGGGCCCCCTCCCCAGTTAATTATTTGAATTGGTTGGAGGGGAGGTTGTTTTGTTTAACAACAGTGAACAGCATGTGGCTACTCACTGTTTAATAGACATGCCCCTACTCTATTTAATATCATGGCATGGCAAGTATGTGCATTTGAGAGATTTTAATCCCCCTTGTAATGGATCACCTGGCACCCCGACTGTGTACCTTTGTTGAAGGATGCTCCTAGCGCTTCCTGAGGACTCCAAGCACTGCAGCAGACACCACAACCACCAAACCGGAGAAGCATGCGAATGCTCGCAAGCATATGAATGCTGTAAGCAGCTGAACAGGAAAAGCATACAATCAGCTTACATTCCTGGCAATCAGCATACAATCCAATTCCCCCAATAACGAGACAACACTTCGTTTTGAGGTCAAGCAGAACTGACTGTACTGGTACATACAGCCTCTTTTATTCACAATCCACAAACATAGTATGCCCACAGGGTTTTTAAATACAACCAATCAATCCGTACAATACACACAGACACTCCCACACAAAATCCTCCCCTCTGCCTGTGATATGATTACTGAACACAATGGTTAATCTAATTATCACAGGCAGAGTAATACAGCATCATAAAACATATCACAGGGACCCTAAAACATGCAATAACCCCATAAAATCGGGGGATCTGGGTGAACCACATATCCAAAATTCACCCAGATCCATTCAGTAGTTTGAAAGATGCAGTTTAATGCAGATTCTGCAGAACATATACAGGCTATATGAAAAATAATTACTGTATAATGTGTCACCTGTTGTATAGTTAGAAAAGTGCAAACAGTGTCTGTGAGTTAAAATGGCCGCCATCCATTGTTCTCACCATGTGCTTCATCCATTGTTCTCACCATGTGCCTCTGATACATGAAATGGTGGCCACCCAGTAACTCCGCAGTATGTCCCCAGATGGTTCTTAAAGGGCCAGCAGCAGCATAATAAAATACAATATGCCCAAATACTGTATTTAAAGGGCCAAATCTCCCAGGGGCCATAGTCAGCAGGCAGGAGGCGGGCAAACAGGCTTCTCCAATGCCCAGTGGCAAGGTTGGTTTCGCCACACCCCTTATGCTAATATGAGGGTCATATTAACCCCCATCGAGTGAGAGGGAATATGAGTGGGATAGGAAGTGGCGGGGAGCACAGCTCCCCAACACATCTATTTTTACATATTACAAGGAGGGAGTTGGAGCTGGTCTTTGTTTGTTCGTGTGAAATTTCTATTCATTTATTTTTTTGACGAATGAATAGACAAATTCCCGTCAGACTATATCGAATTCCAAAGTGTTTAACTGGGCATGCGTGGAAATTTCACCGTGCTATCTAATGTGGGCAGATAACGTGTTCTGCAGGACCTTCATCTGCCCACACAAAGATGGCGGCACCCAGAGCCTAGGTACAAAATAAAGATGAAAAAAAAGTGAATGGGGGATTAGGGGCATTTGGGGGTGACTATGGGAGCTGTTAGATGTAGTGAAGTCTGGTGGGAAGTTAAAACAAAAAACAGATGCGGCAATAACAGTGTTGCTTTAAGTAAAAGCATAACTAAATAAATCAAAACATAGTAAGCAGTCTCTAACTGATATTAAAAACAATGGTCAATTTCCAAAAGTGATCTCAGAAACAACACAATGTATTATACTTTTATTTACCCAGCATACACTTTTACCAGCAACTTTAAAACTGGTGGTGAGGTCTTTGGCGAACCTGTATATCGTGCCATACAAACCTTTTTAAAGCACCAAAATTATAAAATCACTAAAAGGTGACAGTAGAATGAGTGAATTACAAAACTTGGCCTTGACACATGAATCTAAAATCTATCATGGATTAAACAGTCAACTAGGCATGTGCTTATAAAATAGTACAAAAGTTAAGGTCTCTAGCGCTTATTTGTAACGCAGGTAGACAGCTTGAACTGTCAGAACCAGAGTCTCTTCTTTCTGGTCATGGTTGGTGTGGGTCATGGTGACAGAGGGAAGCAGTGCCTTAAAAGTATCCTCAAAATCCGAGGACTAAGAGAGCTGAAATGGAGCCAATATTGGGTACACTAAATAAACAGGGGGTAACCCCAAACAGAAAACTAATAAACTAGAGAAGTGTACCGATATGGACTGGGATAGATGAACTGTACAAAACAGTCATTGCCAGAAATCCACAGAATGGTTACCAGAGGTAAAAATAAAAAAGTATAAAATAAATTTTATGAAATCTAATACAAATAACAAGTAGTAAATAGATGCTCGTATACAAAACAGTGAGGAAAAGAAGAAATACATGTGAGACTAATATAATAATTATTAAAATATCCCTATTGCCACTTAAGTACTGGTGTAGGATACCGTTAGTCTATGCACTATATGAAGACAGTGGCAAAGGAATATAGTGATACACTGGTGCAAAAATAGTCACTATATCACCTGTATAGAAAGTAAGTATTTCGTTCTCACTTAGATCCTAAGATATATATGGTCTATGGTATTGATTAGACGAATACGTTTTCACATAGAAACCTGGGGTGGATTTAGATATCTAGTGAGTCTGTATCGCTAAGCTTGGCTACTAAGATCTAAAGTGGACGTCAAATAAAAAGTAGGAGGAGTAGATGCTATTCTAATGAAAAAAAAAAATAGAAGTATGCTGCTGAGCCAGTAAATTGTGGGATAAGTGTAGATGCCTATCACTTTAAATGCATTAAATGTGAGTGTAACGGTTTATAAATAAATCCAATTCACAGAGTAAGAATGCAAATATAATTTATTACAAATAAATAAATACTCATAAAGGCTTACTGATATTTATTGTTAACACTTACCTTAGTTGTGCAGTGCTTCCTCTAATTAATTTTATTTGATTTTTCTTTTCTTTTTGTAATCCCCCACTAAAATCACATCACCACAACTTCTTCCTATTTGTTTCTACTTAGGGTAAATTTAATTTTTCTGTTTTCCTTATTTTATGTTTCTCTATATTTGATGCTAGTGCTTGT